GTCAAAAGCAATCCAGGGTAACAAATTCAAAGCATCACAATACCTGAATTCAAATTATACTACAAAGGTACATTGATAAAAACTGCATGGTATTGGCACAAAAACAGATGAGCAGCCCAGTGGAACAGAACAGAGGATATGGTGTGGGAAGCTTTTACGCTTGGTATATTATTGGTACTCTTGTATTCCTGGAATGCTATTCATTTTGTTTATACATTAGTCAGTTGGGTTGTTTGGACTTTTTGGTTATTGTGAATACTGCTGCAATGAATACATCTATACAAGTTTTGTACGGGCATATATTTTAGAATAACATTTTATATTCACATCTGGTAAGACTTGCTCTGTTGTTTCATGTATACAAATTTAGAATTGTTTTAACTTCTGGATGAGTTGACCTTTTTATCTTTGTGAAATAAAGAACTGAAAAATTACCCCCCAAATGCAAATGACCCAATCAAAAAAATGGGCAAATGAACTGACCAGTCACATCTCCATAAAAGAAGCAAAAATGGCTAATAAGTACATGAAATACGAATCAAAACATCTTACCCTAGTCAGACTGGCAATCATCAAGCACACACACACACATACACACACCCAAAACATGCTTGCAATATGTGGGAAAAGAAATCATTCTATGTTGCTGGTGGAAATGTAAACTAGTACAACCACTATGAAAATCAATACCAAGATTCCTCAAAAAACTAAAAATGGAAATTCCATTTGATCCAGCTCTACCTCTCCTGGGTACCCTCCCAAAAGAATTAAAGTCATTGTACTATAGTGACACATGCATACCCATCTTTATAGCTGTGTAACTCACAATAGCTGAGCTCTGGAAAATGCCTAGAACCATCAACAGACAAAAAGATAAAGAAAATGTGCTATATATATACAAATGGAATTTATATACTATATAGAATGTAGGAATAATTATGTGACATATAACATAGATGCTAGTCAACATTATATTTTATATGTAACGTTGTTAAAAATTGTGAATATCATTAATGTTAATTGATAACAACTAATGGTTAATAACTGACAGTGATATCTATTGTTATATAATGTTATAATTTTATATTAATTTTTTTTGTTCTTGCAATTCTTTTTTTTATTTTAAAGAGAGTAGTAAATAAGAAACAAACAAACAAAAAAATAGAACAGTAGCAGCATACCAGCATCAGGAATATAAACAAATCAAAGCAAGAACATTCAAAGTGATACAGGGTCTCAAGACAAAATAATATAAATCAACAGTGGTTGTTACATTACATATCACTATCCTCAACTACGCCGCTCAGATTACCAGATGTAAGAATGAAAGATTGCTCAGACCATTAAAGAGAATAAGAAAATAATTCTTCTACAAAACAGTAGAGATAATACAGAGTTTCACTAGACAAGATGGCAGGAGTTCACCATTGTAATTCCATTGCATACTGTTACCTTCAGATCAGTTGCTGAGACCACCAGACACAAGCATGCACAATCGATCAGAACATAAAAGACTGTAACCATTAACTGTTCATTTCAATACACCATCAGACATCAGCAATACAGTTACAGCTATTCATATATATATATATATATTTATATTTTGCTTTCCTTTTTTTCTTCTTTCCTTTATCCTAGTAGTTCCTTCCTTTGAGCAATTTCTAATGTTATTAACATAGTAATACTACTGATAGTTTATATATGGTGTGTAATAACATATATATACACACAACTGAGTGAAAAAGAAGGAAATCATGTCATTTGCAGGATAATGGGTGGATCTTGAGCCTATAAGGTTAAGTGAAATAAGTCAGATATAAAAAGTTAAATATTACTTGGTTTCTCTTACATGAAAAACCCTAATATAAACGAATTAATGAGTAAAATAAAGGACAGATGACAGCAAATAAGGAGGCAGACTTTCGGGAGATGGGAAAAGGGACCAAGGAAAGGAGGCAGGAAATGGTATCAGAAAAGATCAAGACATGATATACATGTCCCAGGTCCCCAAAACGAGTGTAAATACTGTTAAGTATATACCAGAGAGTCCATCCATACAGTGGAGTATTATTTGGCACAAAAACAAAAGAAGTACTGACACACACTGCAACACGGGCAAACCCTAGAAACATGGTATGTACAAGGAACCACACACAAAAGGGTGCACACTGTACGACTCCATTTATACACAACACCCAGAATGGGAAAATCACTAGTCGGAAAGTACGTTAGTGGTTGCCAGGGACTGAAAGTGTAACAGCAAATGCTCCCGCCTCCCCAGCCATATACTTCAGTTTCTTAGCTGCCCAGGCAATAGCTCCTGTTGCAGTTCGGGTTGCTTCTGTCTCCTAGAAACGTCTGGTCACTGTGATGATGCATTTTGTAAGAATCAATCAAAAACAGACAAGTCCTCTGCCTCTGTACTTCCCCTTTGCAATCCCATAAAAACCTCCCTCCCTGGGCCTTCGGGGCTTGATATTTTGGGGATGATCCTGATCAGTGCCCGTCGACGTAAATAAATCTGCCTCCAAGTCCTGGGTGTTGCTGTGGTGTTTCTGTTTGCCGTTGCAAGAGGAAGAAGCGCTGGGCAGGGGCTGCTGGTGGGTACGGGTTTTCATTTTTTGTTTTTTGAAGAGGAGGAATGAAAATCTTCTAGAATAGCAGCGACAGTTATGCAGACCTTGGGCCCACAGTAAAAACCACTGAACTCTACCCTTTAAAATGGTGAATCTTACAGTATATGAATTACATCTCCATTTTAAAAAATTATGTAATTAAAAGATGTGTCAGAAGTAAAAGAAGAAACAGAAAATCTATAATCAGAGTTAAAGAACTTCCTCTCCGGGTCACTGATGGAACAAACAAGCCAAAAGTAGTGTAGATAAAGATTTGAACACTACAATTAAAAGCCTGTGCTTACAGCTATGACTGGTGGCATATACCTATAATCCCAGCTACTCAGTAGGCTGATGCAGGAGGGTGGCAAACTCAAGACCAGCCTGGATAATTTAGCAAGACCCTGTCTCAAAATAAAAATACAAAGAGCTAGGGATGAAGCTCAGTACTGAGGCCTGGGTTCAATTCCCAGTATAGGAAAAAAAAAAAAAAAATGTGTTTACAGACACAGGCCAAAAACTACACCCAGCAGTTAAGATGAAAAGCTGACAGAGGCTGTAGCTCAGTGGTAGAGCACATTAGCATCTATAAGGTCCTGAGCTCCATCTCCAGCACTACAAATAGTAAAAAATTTTTTTTAATATATTTTCTGTTTTATGCATTTATTTTTATTAGTACACAGTTGCAGTGCAGAATGTTTACATTCCGTGTGTGGAGCAGGCACGTGTGCATAACATCTTAATCCCTTTTATGACCCTCTCCCTCTATCTCTTGATCCCTTTCCCATTGAGAAAGCTTTACGTCTTTGTTTCCTTATATCTATCTTTTATTTTACTCTTTATTTGTATTTGGAGTTTCTCGCCTAAGAAAGCCATGCAATATTTAAACTTGTGTGGCTAAATTTATTTCACTTAACACTATGGTTTTTTTGTTATTGTTGTTTGGTTTTTCTTCTGGTACCGGGAATTGAACTCACGACCTTGCGCTTGCCAGGCAGGAGCTGTGCCGCTGAGCTAAATCCCCAGCCCCTCACTTAACACTATGGTTGCAAGATGCATACATTATTTTACAAAAGACTCAGCTTATCCTTCCTTATGGCAGAGTAGTGTTCCACTGTAGTTTCCTTGTTTGTTTGTTTTTCTTTTTGAGACAGGGTCTCGCTATGCAGCTCAGGCTAGCCTGGAGCACCTTTGTAGCCCAGGTTGGTCTCAAACTTGCAACGATCCTCCTGCTTCAGCCTCCCAAGTGCTGGGATTACAGGCATGCACCACCATGCCCAGCTCCTCTGTGTTTAAATGCTGCATTTTCTTTATCCGTTCATCTGCTGATGGACATATGACTGAATTAAAGCAGCAACTGGTTGAGCCCTTGCTCTGGACACGCCAGGGAGCGGTCTGGGTGGTTTGTGCTACAACACTTCTGTCACTCCCCTTTACTGCCCCATCCCCTCTTAGGAGATGCACAGATGGGGGTACAAGGGGTACAGAGAGAGTAAATGTCCATTCGAAAGCTACTAGCTTGCTCCTGACCTATTTACCATCACTCAGCATTAAACTCAATATTTTTCTAGAGATTCGCCTGCAGTCTTTACTCATACAAATAAAAACCATGATACTGGAGCAACGGAATCTGACACAGACTTCAACAAAAAATATAGACGGGCACCTGGAGCATAGAATACAGTGAAGGCTTTTTAATAGCAACAGCTTACTGAGCTCTTGCTCCAGCTTGAAGCTCTAAGTCTCAAGCACTGGATATCTGAACATCTATCTTCCCAGCGCATGCCAAGGAGGTCCTCTCCTCCCCAGTCCCTGAAGAAGGCTGAGGCCCGGTGCCAGGAAGCAGCAGGATGTGGATTTGAATAACCATGACTCTAGAATCCAAGCAATGACACAGCCTCCACTGCTGTGTCACGATGTCAGACTGTCTCCACGGTCGCCAGGCCTCTGAGTGACACAGGAGATTACTCGTATCAGATAGCTGACCTTCCCAGAGACCTTGGGAAACAGGTGGCACAAGGATCACAGGGATTTTATTTTTGTCTTTTTTTTTTTTTTTTTTGAGACAGGGTCTCGCTATGCAGTTCAGGCTGGCCTTGTGCTCACTTTGTAGCCCAGGCTGACCTCAAACTCACAGCAATCCTCCTGCCTCAGCCTCCCAAGTGCTGGGATTACAGGCGTGCGCCACTGCACCCGGCCACGGGGATTTTATAAATGAGGAAACTGAGGCACACAAAGAAAGATAGGCACACTGTGGGAAGCCCTGCATGCCCCACCCACCCTGGGGCAGATGGAGGGACATTAGCAATTCTCAGGAGAGGAAAAAAAGAAGAGAAGAACACATCAAGGCCTCCATGAGCTGACCTTGAAATGAAAAACTGCTGCTTTGTCATTTAACAAACACATTTTTATTCGCTTAGCATACTTACAGGGTTTTATGATTGTGATGATAAATACAGGTGTGTGCTGGTCACATCCTCACCAACGTTTTCTCAGTGTCCGGACACGGCCTTCGCAATGGCCTCCCTGAATAACTTCATTGAGGAAAGCTGCCCTGGAACATGGCTAGAGATTCGGCCTGTGACAGTCTTGTCCAGGGGCTGTTTGATGTGTACGACCGACCCCTCTTTTCTGGCACAAGGAAGCAGTCAGGTTTGCCTCTCCCAGAGCACAACCTCTGCAGGAAGACATTCCAACTGCACCAGATCCACATTATACGGGAGTAAACTGACACTCAGAGAGGGTAAGGGACTTATCCAAGGTTACACAGCTAGGAAGCAGATCTAGGACAAGAATCCAGGTGTTCCGCTAGCTAAGCCAGTGTCTCATCCAAGGGCACATCAGGCCCATGGGGAAGTGGGGACTTTCTGCATGTAGATAAAGCTGTAGCAGAAAGCAGCGTAAGATGGAAATTACCAGAACTTTGGCCCTAGAAGACCCCTTTAGAATCATCCAATCCACCCATCACACAGATGGGAAAATAAGGACCAGCGGAGGAAAGGAACTGGCCAAAAGTTACACAGGTGAGAGTAGACGATCAAGACCAGAATCCAGGTCCATCATAACCCAGATCTCATCAGCCAGCTGGGTTTGGAGAGCAATTTGAGGGTGCTGCTCTACAGACAAGAAAGCAATCTGTCCACGGGGCTTTTCCCCCTTAGCAGGTCTAGACCTTGAGGAGTTTACAATCTGGCAGCAAAACTGGTTCGGAGGTGCGCAGGAAATTCGAACGAGTAACATACAACATTAGTATACAGGCAGCTGCTGTAATGGGAACTTAGAGCTGGTAGTGAGCAGCAAGGCTGCTGTGTGGGAAGACTTCCGGAGGGAGAGCTAAGGAAAGCTGGGAGTCAAGGCATGAGTACGAGTCCAACACACAGAAAAGAACAGATGTATCCATTCAGGACAGACTCGGCGATAAAAGGGTTTTGTAGACGATGACTTTGATGATACATGAAGGTTGGGCGCTGGGGGCCTGGAGCCCTCAGATGCCAGGCCGCAGCTTTGCAACCCAGACCTAGGCACCACAGGTCTTCACATGCTGGGGGAGCAGAACACCGGCCGGTCTCAGAGCTCTTCGCAGAATTCCAGGACCGACTGATCAGATGTCGTGGTCAGTGGCGTAATATCAGTATCAGAAAACAAAACTAGTGTTTCACATCTGCAGGATGAAAGCACAGCCACGAGCATGCATGTCTTTGAACAAACAGTCCTCAAGTCAAACAGGATCGATCCAGCTTTTGCAAATACTCTTGTTAGCGGTATCCTCCTTGGTCTCACTCCCCTCCGCGTTCTCCTTCTGACTCCCATCTTCCACCCCTGCCTCTGGTCCCCAGTGCAAGCGCACAAGCCCAGGCACATTGCCGTTCACAGAATGTTGGGGAGAGCGGCCTAAGAATGGAGGGCATCCTGAGACTGCTTCTTTCTGCAGACTGGAGAGAGGCGGTCCTACAGCTTGCAAGGTCAGAGGCAACGATACAGGGCAGTGCTCTCCCTGAGCCCCAGTCTTCCCATCTGAGATGAAGGGGCTGGAGATGGGAGCAGCTTGTGAGACCAAGCTTTAGATACCTGATGGACCCTGGCAGGTCACCTTCACATCTCCTGGGCCCTGAGGAGGAGTCGCCTTTCCATCCATGCCTGAAGCTCTGCACAGCACACAGAGGGGCTGGGGGTGGAACCAGCCCACCAACCATCAGCTTCAGCAAAGCCCTGCGGTCAGCATGGGATCCCATCAAGGCATTTCTGCACAGGGTCCTGGCATGGGCACGACATCCCTGCTGCCGATGTCACAGGCACCCTTGGGAGCACTCCTGGATGCCCATCTCCAGGACACCATGGGCCATCTTTGGCGCCAGAGGCCTCCCTTTCTTCTCAGTCTTGGAGGAAGATAAAGGCCTTCATCCCTAGGTCACCTGTTCAGGAAGGAGCAGCACCCGGGGCCCAGGATATGTGTTTCTATGAGTTGGCAAGGGCACGGAACCCTTGGAGAGTCTATGTGCCGGGTCCCCACTGACCGGGGGAGCTGGGAGGTCACCAGGAGCCGAATGTAATAGCCACCAAACACCGCCAGGAGCTGCTGAGCCATTTCCTGGAAGAGGCAGGGAAGCAGAGTGAGACAACAGGAGGTACCTGGAGGGCAGTGGAGTTTAGCCACAGGGACACCAGGCTATCCCCCTGCCCTTGGCCCAGGAATGACGTTCACTCAGAAGAACCAGGTTAGGCCAGCAGCTGTAACTGGGCAGACACTGTCCTGGTCTAGAAGCCCAACTCTGCAGCTCCCTGGCTCTGAGCTCACGCAGCCTATTTTCTCAGAACCAAGGTGGGGGAACTAACTGCTACTTGCGCTAACACTATGCGCAAGGGCAGGGTTGTAGCTCGGTGGTAGAACCAATGCTCAGCATGCATGAAGCCCTGGGTTTAATCCCCAGCACCGCTAACAACGTGCACAAAGAGCTATGCACCTCAAAGCACTACAGAAACTATCAACGCCATACACACGTCTTTCATTTTCAAATATGGAAGCTACTCATGCTGGTAGAGTTAGTAATTATGAAAACATTTAAAAGGCCAAGAGGAACTAGGTGTGCCAGCATGTGCCTGTAATCCGAGGCAAGAGGTTCGCGAGTTTAAGCCTAGGCAGGGTAACTAAGCAACTTACCAAAACCATGTCTGAAATTTAAAAAAAAAGGGGGGGTAGGGCTGGGGATAAGGCTCAGTGCACAGGCTCTGGGTTCAACCCCTAGTAATACACACACACACACACACACACACACACACACACACACACGCTACATACACATACGGCCAGGAAGAAGCTGTAGCTCATCCACTCTGCAATCTGCAGCGGCCCTGCACAGGTCATTTCACATTGCTGCAACTCATCTTCATGGGTGACACCAGGAAAACAGCAGCATGCATCATGCTGACATGGGTGAGGACTTCAGGAACATGCGATAGAAAGCACTAGTCCAGTGCCTGGTGCTCAGTCGGTCTCCACAACATCCCCATCATTATCATCATCATCATCATCATCATTACTATTATTCAGAAAATCAGAAACTGTGCATGGCTCACAGGACCAGTTTTTGTTTTGAGCTGTTTTTTGTACTTGAAAATATGGAAAACTTTGAATAATCTATCACTCACTCACTCAGACTGGTCCCCTCACCAATGTAGTCTGAAGTCAACAATGTAAGAAGCAAAGAACTGGACCGGGGATATAGTTCAGTGGCACAAGCGCCTGCCTCACAAGTGCAAGGTCCTGAGTTCAATTCCCGGTACAAAAATAAAGCAAAGAACTGCAGCAGGAACCAGCCTGTGAAGGACCAGTAGAGCTGGCTTCTACCCTTGGCTTTGCCAATTCTCCCTCCATCTGTGGCCGAGGGCAAGTCAGCTGACCGCTTAAAACTTTTTTTACCCATCAAAGAAGGGATCAGTCCAACCACAGATGGTTTGCTAAATCATTTGATGCCAGATGTAAATCTGTAAAAATCTAAGCAGTCACTCTAACTCTGTCTGTCTTTCACAGACAATGGGCTCTGATGGAACAAGAGAGTCTGCCAGTACCGAGCTGCAAGCAGTGACTGCATTTCCCTAGCTAAAGGATAAAGGTGTTGCTTTAACAATATTCACACACGCTTGATATTCATAATGGGAAACTGTATGCCTATTGGTTTCAATGAATTTGGAAAAATAATTTAAAAGACCCACATGTAATAGGCTATTGCACATAAACCCAGACAAGCATGCCACAATAAAGTACATGACCTTATCAATCTCTTCTGCTCTTTATATTAAAAAAATAAAGGAAATGGGATGCAAGAGAAGAGATTACTACATTCATCATTTTCTCTTCTAAATAGTCCTTCTGGCAGCCATCCCACTTCCCACCAGTGCAAAAAAGGTAATTCTGGGTTGGTTTGGACTTTGGATCCCCAAGGCTCTGGGTTGAAAAGAAAATGCAAATGACCTCTTAAATTCCAAGCCACTCCTTGCTGCTAGTCTCCTGGCCAGAGGTTCTGCCCTCATAGTTTAAAGAAAGCAGCATGAGCTGCAAAATACATTACCAGATTTCTGGTCTACCAGCAATTAACAAGACCCAAAAGGTAGAGTGGATGGATGGAAGAACTAGAACTCAAGAGAACTCAAAGAATCAGATCCAAATACCTAACTGCTACTTAAGTAGATGAATGGCTGGCTGGACAGATGGCTGATCGATTGATTGGTAAACTGGTTTACCACTTAGTCATCATTATTGGTGAAATGAGCTATAACCCATCAAAGTGGCTATCCATTCAATGTAACTATTAAAAAATGCCCAAGATATTTTAGAATGCAACAAAAATCCTAATAAATATAAAATGATTTCTATAAAGTATTTTTAAAAGTGTTAAGGTAAACAAAAAGAACACTGAAAGAGACGATCTATAAGATCTAGATGGTCTCTGCTATCTCAGAGGAACCATGAGCGCATGGAGCTGGAAACCACCCACCACCTGAATGTGTCTGGGCAGCTGCCCCACACAGGAGGACTCGTTACCTGCGGCTCGGCCTCAGGCACGAGCTGGTGCAGCTCAGTCTGCAGGACTGGTCTCTCTTGAGGCCTGGTCTCTTCTCTGGGCAGGAGAGGAGCATCTTCCAGGTCTGCGGGCCCCTCCGCCATTGTGGGGTTCACCCCTGTCTCTATGACAACACACAGCTGGCTCAGTCTGCTTCTCAGCAAGGACTGCAAAGGAAACAGAGGGACATAGGTGGGTCCTACATTGGGGGGGCCTGGGAGGTGCATGTCTCTGAGCTGCAGACCCAAAAAAAGGTGGATCCAGCACCAACCTCAGAAGAATCTAAAACAGACCCATATCTGTGAGACACATCATTCCTTACAAGAGCTTCCAAAGGTCAGTAAGGGCTTCTAAAGGATTTTTTCCTTCTAGGTTCTCATTAGGCACTCAAAGCAGCATCAGATGTTTTTTCAATGAACTTTTAAAGGTTTTACATTATGAAAATTTCCAAACAGCCCCAATCTAGCTGACAGCTACCTATCATCCTGCTTTAACTACTGTCACTTCATGGCCACCCATTTCATCTCTACCTTTGTAATGTCAGAAGGGCACTTCAGAGACCAAGCATAGTGGTCCACACCTATAATCCCAGGTGTAAATGCTCTAGAGTCTGACACAGGAAGATCATGAGTTCTAGGCCAGCCTGGGCAACTTAGTGAGACCTTATCTCCAAATAAAAAGGGCCATGGATGTAGCTCAGTGGTAGACCAATAGGAAGGCCCTGGGTTCCACCCACAGTACTTCAAAAATAAAAATGCTCTGAGGGCTGGGGATTTAGCTCAGTGGCACAGCTCCTGCCTGGCAAGCGCGAGGTCATGAGTTTGATTCCCGGTACCAGAAAAAAAAAACAAAAAAATAATAAAATAAAAATGCTCTGAACATGTGAACATTGTCTAAGTATGTGATACTTTGGACCTGCCAGAGTTTATCACTAATACAAATACTAGTGGAAAAAAATACAAGCTTGCCGCTGGAAATGTAGAAAGTGTGATCAGATCAAAAGGAGCAGAAAAACCATCAGTCCCTAGGTGGGAAGCCACTGATTCCATACGGGCATTCTTCCTTCCAAGTAACTTTTCTTAGCACTCGATCTTAGTCAAAAGGCCAAGATGCAGTGTAACCTTTTCTTAGACATTTTTCCAACACCACGGTAATGAATCTTACACAAACTGCCCTCCTGGTTTATCTTGTCCTTTTTTCACTTATGATATCTTACCTCTTGGTTGGTCTTCATTTCTTGAATGTGGTCAGACAAAAACTGCACACAGTTTTCCAGGTCAAAGTAGACAAACCAGAGCTGTGGAATGAAGCCACAGCAAGGGTCACTGAGGCTCAGCACCAGCCCAGCCTCAACTTCCCCATCTGCATCCATCCTTCATGTCCTTCCCCTCACAGGAGCCCACCTTCTGAGGAGGCTGAATGTGCCCTTTTGTCCAGCAGGAACAAGTCATTCTGCTCTCTCTACACTGTAGCTAGGTCTTATTTGCACAGCCGGCAGAAAATGGCTTTGTGTGCAAATTGAGAAGATGTCCAACCCAGCTAGCTGGTGGTGATCCAGGCCTGTAATCCCAGCACTCTGGTAGGCGGAGGCAGGAGGGTCACAGATTTGAGCCCTGCCTGGGTAACTCAGCAATTTAGCAAGGTCTTCTCTCAAAATAAAAAATTAAAAAGGGCCAGATGTAGTTCACTTTGAAAGCCCGAGGTTGAATCTCCAGTACCACCAAAAGAAAAAAAAAAAGGGCAACACCACACAGAGGGCTGAAATGGTCCCATCTCCCACCCATCACTGGACAGACTCCAGGACAGCTGCAGTCCAGACAGACTCCAAATATCTGAACATCACATATCCACCTTGGGGGGACACCTCCTCCATCCTCAGTGGCCAGGGCATCGTTCTGTCTGAGGCCCAAACACGCAAATGAGTGAAACCTTCCTAAAGTGACACTTCCTAGGCCTGAGGCAACAGACCTGGGTGCTCTGTAGGGAGGGAAGCAGGGAAAAAAGTCTTTCATCCCACCCTTACCTGCCCTTCTGCCTCAACTGAACAGGCCCTGGGAGGCCAGTTTCAACTCAGCCAGGCTGAGACCCTCTGTCTTTGCACATCATCATGCCACAGGGATGGCACATCAACTCTGAAGTTCTGCACAACAGTGTTGTCCCTTGTCTTACACCGTCCTCCCACTGACTCTTCCCTCGTCCCAGTGCCTGACACACTAGACCCAAGGTCACGTCCCTCTTGCCAGCTGTCCCTCCCCACGGTCTCATCTCCGGGGGAAGATTCTTTTTCAATGCCCTTTTAAAGGCTTTTCACAATGAAAATTTCCAAACAAATACAACATAGGTGACAGCTACCCATCATTCTGCTTCAACTATTATCACCTCATCTCTACCCTCCTCCTTCCCCCTCACCAATACCCCCACATCCAAAGATGTCCCAGACATTGTATCACTTGATGCCAAGATACTATCTTGAAAATGGAAAGGTAGTGTGTCAGTTAATTGTCAACTTAGCTGGGCTAAGAGACTCCTGAAAATGAATGGATCCTGAGGGTATTACCCTCCTCAGTGGATTAATCCAGTGATGTTCATAGCAGTTAGGAGGTAGGGCCCAGGTAGAGTTGGGGTGCTGGCCAAGTGCCTCTATATATTTTGCTGGCATCCTTCCCCTGTCCTCTGCTTCCAGAAGGCTAACACTGAGCAGCTTTTCTCCACCACACCCTTTCACCATGATATTCCTGCCTCGGAGCCAGCTGACCATGGAATGAACCCCCTGAAATCAGTAGCCTAATTAAGCCTCTCCTCCTTTAAGTTGCAGGTGTCATGTACTTTGTACCCGCTACAGAAAAGCTGACTAATACAGATGTGCCCGCTCATTAATCATCCAGCCAGCCATGGATTCAACCAACACTCGCCAACTCAATCCTGTGTACGACTGACAAAGGAGATTTGGAGATAAATGAGGCTGAAAAAGAACCTGCAGATTCCAGGAGCTCCCTGTCTACAATGTAACATTTCAACTGTGAGGAGTCTGGTGATGCCATCTGCTTCATCTGCTGATGTCAGGTGAGATGGCTTTCCACACTACACTGCCTTGGGTGTGATTGGCTCTACAGAGATCTATGTATGTTCTCTGCTATGTACAGTGCCTGGTACATAATAGGCTCATAATAAACAACTGCAGAGGAACAAGGCCTGTGCCGAGGAGCTTCTTCCCGGCTCCCATGTACACACCCACCAGCAGGCTCCACAGGGCTCTTCCAGGTTGAGGGGCAAGGCCTGCTGAGATGCACAGGGGGTGCCAAGATTTTACAACCCCACTGGGCAGAGCCCAGCCAGGATCAAGAGAGGGAGCCCCAGTGGTGTCCCAGTCCAGTGCCTTGTGCTCACCACTGTGAGATCGCCTCACTGCCTTTGGCGTGAAGAAAACAGCTGAGCCAGGCCTGTAGCCTCTGACCTGCCGCAGCAGCCTCATCTCCCCCCGCCCCCGTCATTGCTCCCCTGGGGCCCCCAGCCACTAGAGCTCCTCATGGCCCCCCGAAGTACCCTGTCTGCCTTGCCTCACAGCTGGTCATGACCATCCCTCTGCCACAGGCCAGCAAGGCTACTATGACTGTCATCCCCGGAAGTCTGTGACTTTGTTCCAGACAGGGACCCTACAGGGCGCCTTGGTATCTTCAGTGTCCATCAGTGCGTTAAGCACAGAAAAAGCATCTCAAGGAAGAAGCACAGGAGCAGGGGAGGAAAGGATGCCGACAGCCTTATCATCCACAAACTCCTGGACACATGGCGCAGAGGAAGAACACAAGGCCACCTGTTCTCTAGAGTCCGGCCCAAATGTGGGTCATCAGGGACAGGTCTCTGCATGACACAGTACCTGGATCACACTCTGGCAGCCTTCCACAGTGTCTGTCACCCCCAGCAGCACCTGGTGTCTCAGGAGGGCTCTGTTGGCAGCCACCAGCCTCAGGTCAGTATTGGTGTTGGCCTGTAAGACAAATGCCAAGCTGCAAAGGAGCTCTCGAGCCACATGCTGTCCCACCCCCTCGATGGTATGCAGCAATCCTCGCCCTCGAGACTCTTCCATTTCTTCCCCTATGGCAAATGCAGTAGTGTCTGACAGCCCTGGGCTGAAGCCCAGCTCTGTGCTTCCTGGCTGCATGGTCCTGGCCAAGATATGTCCATCTCTAGTCTTGCTGTCTCCAGTTGTAGAATAAGAAGAGCACCTCTGCCCTTGGGACTGAGACTTCACTAGATCATGTATGAAGCACTTGATCCGGGGCTAGAACACAGTCTGGGTGCAACAGATGCTTGCGGGAGGTGAGGGGACAGATGCGGCTGAGCACTCACAGTAAGGGAAGTACCCACTCTGTCTATAAAGGGTCTACTACGAAAGCCTGCGGCCCAGCACCCGTCCTCAGAAGGGCTATTTCCTTCTGTTCCTACCCACACCAACCTCTGCCATATGCAGCACAGACAGAGGAGACGCAGGGAGGCCAGGGAGTGGAAGGGAGCGGAGAGGTGACCCAACCCAAAGGGCTGGTTTGGGGGAGACACTGCACCGGAACATGAAGAGCCTGCAGACACCAAGGGCAAGGTGCTCACAAGGGGCAGGGCTCCCAAAAGGAGGGTTGCGAGGCCTCTTCGGTTGTCACGGCGATGGGACAGTCCATGGTGCCACACAGTGGAGGAGGCTAAGGGTGCTGACCACGCATCTCCCAGGCAAGACAACTCCGCCAGTCAAGAACTGTGCCCTGGCCCCACTGCGCATGAGTGCAGACGAAAACCATACTAAGTTTTCTCATAGGCCAACCTAACTCCATTTTACACACTCGCCTAAACCATTTTCTGTTCTCATGATATGGGTTTAATGTACACGGAATTTTCCAGCAAAGCCAGTGTCATGGAAACTGGTCATACTTTGTCTTGAGGGTGCTCATCCTTTCAGAAACCCACTCAACAACAGTGGGAGGCCTGACTCTGCCTCCCAGCACTGTCTAACCTTGGGCAAGTTACCCCAGCTGCCTGCCTCCCACAGGGGTGACAGTAACGCCTCTGCCTTACGGGGAACATGGTTGAAGCCAGCTAATCCACATGGGACAGACAGGAGCCCAGGCACTCAGCATGTATCACATGGGCATGTCACCGTGGGTCGGAGCTGGATTAAAAACATTGTATTCAGCACTGTGCCACAACCTCCACAAATGTTTTTAGGAACTTGCCTAGTAATGCAACCTGCTGAGGACACAGGCGGAGTCTGACCTACTTTCACAAACCCTCAATCTCGAGAAAAGCTAATAAAGTATCGCCCAAGGGTGATGTTTCACAAGACAGAATGTGTGATACTTAGAGGCCCTTTTGGAGGCCTGTCATGTATGTAGGGTCCCACAGTGAGAGTGATCAGGCTCCAGAAGGGAGATCTGCATTGTCCTGAGTGATAAGAAATCCCAGGATTTAGAGGTCCTGGAGCGGAGACCCAAAGGAAGACCTGAGCAAAGCTGCATGGCCATAGATTCAATCCCTCTGAGCTTCAGTTTCTCCACTGGTAAGCAAAATCAATAATATTGACAGTTAGACAACAGTTATACCATTTTAAGCACTGTTCACGTTTAAGTCATTTAATTCTCACAATAACCCTTTGGTAGATCTAGTTATTGTGCCATCATACAGATGAGGAAACTGAGGCTGTGAGAGGTTAAAATACCCTGTGACCTGTGCCCTGGTACTCACAAGGACATCACAAATCCCAGCTGAATAAAGAGGTTCAGGAAAGCAAGAGGCAGAGCGCCTAAGCCACATCCCCAGACTGCACGAATTACATCTGCATCCTTAAAGCACCTGCCAGCTGCCAAATTTTCTGCTTGTTTCTGCTGAAGCAGATGGCTTTGCTTTCTCCCCTCCAAGAGAAGTTTCTTGCTGCAAGAATGGCCACCTCAGTTTATGTTTTGCAGGCCAAGCACAAGGGCTATTAAAGCTTCAACAGAGCCCTAGGGCAGCATTCTCTTATCAGCCTGGTAGCAAAGCCCAACAAAGATCAAACTGCCAGGCATGGTGGCGCATGTCTGTAATCCCAGCACTCAGGAGGCTGAGGCTGGAGGATCCTTGCAAGTTGGAGGCCAGCCTGGGCTAAAAAGTGAGTTCAAGACCACCCTGAACTGCAAAATGAGACCCTGTCTCAAGAAGATTGAAAAAACAAAATGATCCAAGCCATAAAATTCTTACTTTGTCCCCTCTGAACACAAGCATGAAATGGAACTCACACCCTAAATCCTGACTACACTTCCCAGCATCCCGCCCTTCCCTCTGTGCCACATGCAAGCAGTGTCTGCTAAGGGTCTCAGAACCCAGTACTGTGCCCGGGGCTGCACAGGGTGGGGGCAGGAGCTTCCCAAGTACTAGGCAAAATAATGGCCCAAAGACACCTCAGTCCTATTCCCCGGCCCTATGACTATAGTGTTAAATATGCTTAAGCAAAAGATGGAATTAACACAGCTACTGAGCTGACCTGGAAGTAAGGTTATCTCAAACTCTGCAGCTGGCACAATGTAAACACAAGGGTCCTCAAAAGTGGCAGCAGGGCAGATGGCACACGCCTGTAATCCCAGCACTCTGGTAAGCTGAGACAGAAGGACTCCAAATTCAAGCCCCGTCTAGGCAACTTAGCATATTAGGGAGACCTTGTCTTAAAATGAAAATCAAAAAGCTCTGGCATGTAGCTCAGTGCAAAAGCTCTAGGTTCAGTCCTCGGTACCACAAAAAAAAAAGTGGAAGAGAGAAACGCAGAAGAGTCAGAGTTAGAGAGGTAGGTGTGAAGAAGATCTGACCCACCATTGCTGGCCTTGAGAAAGGAGGAAGAACCAGGAGCTGAGGAACGCAGGTACGGGAGCCAGAGGAGCCCAGAAAGCAGCTTCTCCCCCACACCCTGCAGACAGAACACAGCCCAGCCTATACCCCAACACCAGCCCACAGAGGGGACTCAGGACGGACTCAACACAGAAATGGAAGGTGTTAAGCCCATGTGGCTTTTCAGCCACTTCGTTTATGGTCATTTCTTACAGCAGCTTCTAAGGTCGGCTGGGATTAAGTGAGGCATGGCCGCCAGGAGTGGTAGTGTACACTTGTAATCCCAGTACTCGGGAGGCTGAGGCAGGAGGATCGTCGTGAGTTTGAGACCAGCCTGGGCTACAAAGTGAGCTCAAGGCCAGCCTGAACTGCATAGTGAGACCCTGCCTCAAAAAAGACCAAAAAAAAAAAAAAGTGAGGCATGGCCATCAAAAGCACCAGGTCAGCACCCACCATCACAAGGAGAAATAGCACACATCCTCTCCCAGCGGAGGGAGTCAGGAACCTTCGCTCACTCACAGGACAGTTGAGCACACCCAGGGAGAGCCGGTGTGTGAAGGCTCAGTTAACCAAAGTGCTACCGGTATCCTACTTGCAGACTGTCTCTTAAAACAGCCCACTTCCAGAAGAAACAGCCCACAGGAAGCTGGGTATGGTGGGGCACACCTATAATCCCAGCACTCAGGAGGCAGAGGCAGGAGGATCATAGTGAATTTGAGGCCAGCCTGAGCTACATGCAGAGATACTGCCTCAAAAAAAAAAAAAAAAAACAACCCACAGGGATTACATATTAGAAGAACAAAAAAGACCTCTCTTTTGCTTCTGGGCCATAAGGCAGTAGCTCTGCCACCATGACAGGATGCACGGCCAAAGGCCCCAAAGTTACAGGACCAACAGGCATGGTCTGAAACATCCAAAATTGGGAACCAAACGCAAACCTTTTCTATGCGATTGTGAGACAGAAAGATTTAATCATGCACATGATTTGATTTTTTTTAAGTCACTGGACTCAAGGGCCAGAGTGGATTTTCATGGTTGGAGAAATTCTTTGAGGTAGGCAAGCGGGACACTGGGCTTGGGATTCTCGGGCCTGTACAGCCCTTCCAGGGGCTGCACGGCAGGAGCCCCTGGGTATCTCACCTTCCTCTGGTGCCTCTCGAAGACAAGTACGAGAGTCAGGGTCAGGCTCACCGCGGCCAGAGTCACAAGAAGCACGGCCGCCCAGTGGTTGCCCAGGGCAAACATCTGGCTGGTGGAGTAGATATTGGCCCACACCACCACGTAGAAGACCTGCAAGGAGCCATGGGAGAACGCAGTCAGGAACATCAGCCGCACCCAAAGGGACACCCTGTGGACAGCCTGCCACCCTCCTGGGCCCCAACAGGTCACAGAGTCAAGAGACCCATGCAGACCCTGGGTCTGTGGGCATGAGCTCATGCTCCTTGTTTATAAGCAGAAGTCAAGGCCAGGGCTTAGAAGCTCTTAATCCTTCTTCCCAGAAAAAGGCAGGGGTCTCTGGAGTGAACGTGTCGATCCTTGCACTTGCCATGCAGCCTTGACAAGTTACGACACCTCTCTGAGCCTCAGTCTCCTCACAGAGCTGTTACAAGGGTTCCCACAGTGACCTATGACACAACCCCACAGGTACTAGGGGTTGATCAGTGCTAGTTCTGCCCCAATCCCTTGTCCCCGGCAGTGACAGGTGGTGCCAGCTGTGCAGTCTGACCACCGACACAAAGCAGTAGTGACTCACAGTGGCTAAGGGCACAGGTGAGGCACGGGACTACCTGGGCTCAAACACTAGCTCGGCCAGGCCTGTGTGTGTTTATGTGTGCACACGTGCACACACACATGTACAAGTGTCCTTAGGTGTGGTCAAAAATGCCATGAATGCTGCTGCAACGTGCCATCCAGCAGGAAGCCAGGTTTGTAAAAGCATGACAGTTGGGGCTGGGGATTTAGCTCAGCGGCAAAGCGCCTGCCTGGCAAGCGCAAGGTCGTGAGTTCAGTTCCCGGTACCAGAGAAAAACCAAAAAAAAAAAGCATGACAGTGTGTCCTCATCCACCTTATTCACTGAATCTAGCTCCAGGCAATTTCTGACTCTTCCCCAAAGTCAAAATGACCATGATAGGTAAACGGTTTGAATGAATACAGGACATGAAGGCAGCCACAACAACGCAACTAAAGACACTCACGAAAGAGGACTTCCAGAACTGCTTCAGAAAAGGGTAAGAACAATGGGTGGGGTAAGTATATTCAAAGGTACGGGATATTGAGGGAGATTAAAGGCAATGTGTCTTTTACTGTCATCATTTTTTTTAATTTAACCACTCACCATATTTTTTGGTCATACCGTGTGTTCACATCCATGATTCCCATCCTTTATGTGGGGACCTGGTGACATCATTCTCCCACAGACTTCCTTCTATACCAAATCCAGGTCCATGTGGCATTGCTCCTTCCCAGGCACCTGGGTCACCAGCCTCCAATCCCTTATCCCCAGTCCCTGGGCACAGTGCTCCATTTGGCAGTGCAATGGGGCCAGGGCAGGTCGGCGCACGACCACCTCCTCCTTACCACGGCGAAGGCCAGCCGCATGGGCCTGGAGTTGTAGATGATGTATCTCCTCACTTGTGGCTCCAAGAGGGCGCTCTCAGCCAGGCTCCTGTACTGGTCGGCGGGGAGCTGCACGGCCAGCCAAGGGAAAGGAATCCATCAGCCACAGGAGAACCACCCCAAGTACCCTCCAGCCAGCGAGCGCACCATGCCCACCTCCTGTGACAGTCACATGGAAGGGGGATTAGGACATTCTGGGCAGCACCAGAGGACAGAATGTGCAGCTCAAAGCACTGCGTAGAAGCCCCAGGAGCGGCACTACACAGAGGGGACAGACTGAGGTGCAGGAAGACATCCCCAGAGGGTCTCCACACCCTGAGATCAGCACCTCATCGCGAGCACAGGGCTGCTGCAAGGTTAAGGCCCAGGCCCTGGAGTCGGATGGCTCGGGGCCCAACTCTGGCTACACCACTTACTCGTATGAGCTGTGTGACCTAAAGCAAGTTAGTCCTTTCTCCGAGTGTCAGCTTCCTCCTCTATTAAATGGGCGGAGGGGGGGGGTGCCACCCACTGTGTCAGGTTCGGGTGCCTATGAAACAGATTCACACATAAACACTGCTTGGCGCAGTGCTGGCGGCATGTTGGACCCGGGACAGGCAGTGCTACCAGCCATACGGCAAAAAGGGACATCTGTTCACACAGTTCAAAGTGCCTACTCATCTTCCCGCCCCGAACTAGCCACCACGGGCACAGGCCCCATGAAAGCACACTAAGAACACAGAATTAACGGACCAAACATTTTATTTAGTAATATGGAGCTGGGCATGATGGCACACACCTGTAATCCCAGCACTCGGGGGGCTGAAGCAGGAAGATCTCCATGAGTTTGAGGCCAGCCTGGACTACACAGTGAATTCAAGGTCAGCCTGAACTACATAGCGAGACTTGATCTCAAATGAAAGAAAGAAAGAAAGAGAGAGAGAGAGAGAGAGAGAGAGAGAGAGAGAGAGAGAGAGAGAGAGAAGAGAAGAGAAGAGAAGAGAAGAGAAGAGAAGAGAAGAGAAGAGAAGAGAAGAGAAGAGAAGAGAAGAAAAGAAAAGAAA